AGGCACTCACAAGTACACTTTTGACTATAGTTGGATAGGGAGAATTGAGAATTTATTGAGAAAACAGAGGTTGCTTGTCACCTAGAGTCAAAAAGCACATTTGTCAATCAATAGGCTGAGGTTGGGTGGACTATGCGGCCAAGTGGGCTACCTGGTCGTACGGCTGGCCATACTGCCCATACACTAGGGGAGTAGGCGGCAACACTGCACCATAATTACGAGGTAGTTGAAACTAAGTTGGATGAGGTAGAGGAATTAGCGTTTGAGTATGATGGGCTTGATTTCTGCTTGTTCTACCCAAGCTGGTATGCTTGGAGGGAGTATGGTATGACAATTCATCCGGCATTCTAGGAATGGAAGCCGTGTCCGAGTAATAGGATAGGGCGGCGCGCTCCTGCCGTTTCTGCCTAAGATAATCCTTAGCATCCTTGAAGCGCTGGGATGGCTCATTTGGTTGCCTAAGAGGCTGCCTAGTGTGCCCCCAACCGACTTCGATTTCTCTATGAGCTTCGACCAGTTCGTCCGAGGCACCCTAGGTGACCTCTGCTGTCTCCTGAACGGGGAAGCTCCCGCATCCTCAATGTTTGCCGCTTTGCCATGGGGTTTCTTTTTGGTGCCTTCTCCTTCTTTTCTGGGCGGCTACCTAGAAGAAGAGGCAATCCTGCCCTCAAGTTCCTTTCGGAACCTTGATAGAGTGGCCTGCAGGGTGCCGGCCGTTACAGGAGGATCCTCGACCGCATGAAATGAAATGGTCAGAGGATTATTGTTGTTGATAGTAACCTTGATGTTCTCTACGTGTCCGTCCTCACAAAGACCGGGTGTCTGACAATCTTTAGCCATTTCAAACGTCACTACTACATTTAAAGGCTTATTGTAACAGACAAAATGTAACACATCCTCACATCGTTATAATAAAGGAACCTACTATAATGAATACTTGTTTTCAAATTACAACAACCATGATATTGTAACAGGTATGCATAGAGGGTTACATTTGGTCAATGTCTGTTACAGTAGGTGAATTTTTTGTGACGGTTATGTATTTATATTTTTATTTGGAGTGTAGCGCCATAATGAAATAGATGGCGATATACTACCTCCGTTTATTTTTATGTGCAACTTTTGCCATTTTAGTCCGCTAAACATTATGTGCAACTTTCTATTTCTTTCTATTTTTAGTAAACAAAAACCGTAAAAATTACAAATTTACCCTTACTTAAAAATTCAGATTTTCTTAAAATTACCCTTATCTTACTTTAATCAAATTAATCTAAACTTAATCAAATTAACCTAATCTAATGACTCCCTCCATTTAATTCCCTCCAATTCCTCTCATTACTCACATTCCCAACCACCAAAAATTAATTTTTGATGGTTGGGTTTCCCTTTATGTTCTAGAGACTTCCTGAGATGAACCCTAGTTCATCTTCTTCGTTTTCCTCTCTCCTGTTCGTCGCTATTTTTTTCCCAACATTTCTCCCTAGATTTGACATTCAGACATCAGATCTTGCCAAAAAGAGTCCCCACCTACAACATGGTGAACCTTGATCCACTTCACGAAGCTTCTATGGCCACCGATGACGTCAGTAAGGGTAATTTGATTGTGTCCCTTATTCAATCCTTTGAAACCGGATCTTCGTTTCCTCGGCAATTCTACGAGTCTGGTGAGGCTGGGCTTTACTGTACGTCCACCACCTACAAGGCTCTAGGTAAGGTGCTTGAAAGCTGTGAGGAGGAGGAGCGTCTGAAGAAGGCTGAGGGTCAGGGGGAGTCCCGTGGTAAGAAATCTCTTGATTTCAGTTTTGTATCTGTAGATCCAGTCTGTGACAGTGGTGAAGGGAGTTCCGTGGCCACAAAAAAGGCCAGATCTAAGAGGGTTAGGCCACCCACGAAGATCCGGGCTAGAAGGAAGGCGGCGTTGGTGGCTCGAAGGCGAATGCGTGGGTTGCCAGATGTGGAGTATGTTGTTCTGTCCTCTGATGATGAACCTGAAGAGGAGGAGGCTTCATCACCTCCTCCTAAGAAGGCTTTCCCTCCACTGGAAGATGATGAAGCGTAGGGCCCTCCTTTTGTAGCACTGTGAGAGGCGGATGAACCCAAGGGTTCAACCCTTCAACTGACTGCTTGCGTAACGATTCCTAACCCTAAATTTTTTTGAGTCCCTTTCCTTTGAATTTTTTGATAGTATGTTGATTTGATCTGGTGGGTTGATGGCTATGTAGCTTATTTCTGATCTGGTGGGTTGTTGGCTATGTTGGCTTGTTGTCTGATCTGTTGGATTGTTGGATTTTTGGGTCTGTTGAGTTCATTTCTCTGATACTCGGATTGTTGGTTGTCTGATTGTGTTGGGTTATTGTACGTTTTCCCTGGTTTCTGATTGTGGTGGCTTGTTGTCTGGTCTGTTGGATTGTTGGATGTTTGGTTCTGTTGATTTCATTTCTCTAATATTCAGAGTGCTGGCTGTTTGGTTGTGTTAGGTTGTTGTATCTGTTGGCTGTGTTTGCTGTTTTTGATTAAGTTGGCTTCATGTATGTTGTGGTGTGTTTGACTGATCTGTTGGTTTGTTGGAACATGCTGGCTTGTTGGACTTTATATCCTATCCTAGTGATTGTTGTTGATTATTGGGTAATCAGTCCCTTACTGGATGGATCTGTTAGTTTTTGATTAATTTGATGGATTATGTTGGCTGAGGGGATTTGATTGATGAATGATGAGGCTGCTGTGTTGTTGTTGTTTATTATTGGCTACTCAGTCCCTTACTGTTTTACAAATTTCTTAAAGGAGTCCCCTTTGATTTTCTTTTGTATCCTGATTGTATTGAGTCCCCTATTGTAGTGTGTTGTTTACCTTATCCAAATCCACGTGATGAAAGGGACTCCATTGAATTTCACTAAACACAAGTGTTTTGCTCCAACATTTTGCTTAATGCTCTTGTTGTTGAGGTAACCTTATGACTTAGTGTTGTATTCAACAATGACATACATACCTTCTGATGGATTGAGTGCCCACTGAACAGCTGATTCTTTGTCATTTATATTCCATTCAAAACGTGGGTACAAAAGGACCATACCTTCATCAAAAGACTTTACAACAGACTGCCTTACATGCTTGAATCATTGTAATCAACAAAATACACCTAACCAACTGGTAACTGAATAAAAAAAAAAAAAAAGATTAGCATAGCTAATTGGTTATGTGTGGCAGTCCATGTGTTGTCTCATTTATGTGATGAGTCCCCTAGTCTGCATCCACCTCCATATCTTCTGTTGCTTCTTCATTGCCTTGATTTGCTGGCCTAAACATATTGTTTAGGTACTCCACAGCCTCCATCACTACTTCCTTCTGCACTTCTACTTTATCTGGTAGAATGCCAATATTTTCAAGTTTTTTTTTGTTCATGTGGGGTATTTTGTATTTGTTCCCACCTTCTGCCTTGAGGATCTTTATCATGCATTTTTGCAAAGTTACCCAGATGTACTTGTTACTTGGGGATTGAATGTGTCATAAGAGTCTCTTACTTTTTCAACTAGCTCATCTAAGTTTCTAGGAAAAGACTGATATTACAAAGATTGAATAAACCTAAATAACCCTAAATCAAGCACATTCAAATCAGGTGACTGTGCTGGCTGAAAAACAAATTGAATGTTGAACCCATTTGCTGTTGTTGCTGCCATGAACTCTGCATCATTAGGAACTTGGTGAGGCCTTGCATTGTCCCATTAGATGACAACATTTTTGGCCAGACTTTCAGGCCACTTTGAGATGATTGCTGGTATGACCTTTGTCAGCAACATATCTCTAATCACTTCTCTTTTTACATTCTAGAGTACCTTTGTTGTGAACAGTAACATGACTTATCTTCAGTGCTCCTGCATAACTCCTTTCTGTCTGCCTTAAATGCAAAGGAACTGCCTGTAAAATTTCATCAGATATTTGCAATGGCTTTCTCCCTGTTCTGCCATACTTCTTAGTCCTGACATCAATCAAGTCCCCTTTTGCCAACTGTTTTTTTATTTCTGTGAAGATTCTTGTGATGGATGATTTGTGAACATTGAATTGAGATGATAAATGTTTCATGTGACCCCTTGGCAATCTTCCCTCATGCATTTTGACCAACATTGCATCAACAATTTGTCTTTTCTTGTGCATGGTGAGTTGCTTTCTGTCTGCCATTTGAGTCCCTTGATGAAATGGTTGTTGCATTTGTGAGGAAGCAACCTCAGCTTCTGTGTTTTGCTCGCCCCGTTCTCCTTCTTGGTTGTGTTGCATGTTTTCATCATCAGATTCATAGTCCCCTATGCCTGCATCTTGCATTTCTTCTTCATGGTCATACCACAATTCTGCCATCTGTTCTTCATTTAGTATGTGATCAACATCGAAAAACACATCATCAACAAATTCTGCCATGTGTTTTTCTTCTTCAGCACAGCTTGATGATGTAGGGGAGCTGCTAATTTTTTGTGGAGTAGATGAAGGATGCAACTTGATATGCAGGACTAATTTCAGCTTAGCCGATTTTTTTTGGGTTTTAGTGGGCTAGTTAATGTGTAATTACTGCTAACTTAATGATGAATGAACGCTTTATATGCCTTAATGGGATTCAGATTTGTAATGGAAACTTTGTTTTTGCTGGAAACTTTGTTGTTGCTGAAAACTTAATGATTGTAAACATTTAATGTGTTAGAATGGAGGCTGGTATTTATAGCCCTCTTAAATGATGAATGAAGGCTTTAAATGCCATAAAAAAAATTTGGTATGTGCTGTGCTTTTTTTTTAAAATTGTAGGGAACCAAAATTTTCACCAAAAATTCAACAAATTCGAATTTTTGGTGAAAATTTGGGGGGAAATCCACCCCATGTGTTTATGCCAGAATTTTCCACCAACATTGCAAGTGGGTGGCCCTACTTTCTCTCTCCTATCCCTTTAATTAAGTACATTTACTTTTCTTAATATTTGCCCTTCAATCTTTTGCCTCCTGAATAGTTTCATGTGTCAAAGTTGCATATAAAAATAAACGGAGGTTGTATATTATAAATTTTCGTTTTCTGAAGTTCTAACCCACTCCCCGGAAAAAAAGAAAATTCTAACCCACACATTTCCATGTTCTTCGTCCCTCCCTCTCTACATTCTCTCTCTCTGGATCAAAATCTGCTCAAAATGCTAAGAAAATATGGTGAGAGGAAGAAGATGAGTTGTTCAATTCACCAATAATTCTACTGCTCATACTCGCAACTTTCCAAATCCTCCTGGTTTCACTCGCGCTTATCAAGGTCTGGTTTTTATTTTCTATTTTTTTTGTTCTTTTTTTTTTTCCATCAAAAGAAGGATGTTGAAGCTAATTGGAAATCTTAGGTAAAATCTACTAGTAATTTCTTTTTCTAGATTTGGGATTTAGGGTTTATGTTTTTTTGGTAATTTATTGCTCTATTGTGGACTTTATTTTTAGGGTTTTGATCTGTAATTTAATTCCGAATGGGTATTTTGTTATTTCATTCATTTAAGTAAAATAGGAATGAATTCTATAAAATTGACAAGCAATTGGTTTATTGATTTTTTTTTTTTTTTTTCCTTTCCTTATAGATTTATCTCGGTTTTTCCTTTTAACAAAATTTTCGCTGATTTTTTATTTTGTTGTTGACGTTTGCAAGTATGGATGGCTTATGTATTCAGAGTGTTTCTTCACAAGGAGAGTGGAGATTCTAAGGTATAATACTATAAAGACTTTCGTCCATTCTTGCTTCTATTGCTGGCGAAATTGGTTCTGATAGATGTGCCCCCAAAAGTGTGTTTTTATTCATAGTTTCTTTATTGTTTCTGGGTTTGTGTTAATTATTTGGTTGATAATAATTAAAATGGGTTGATTCTTGCAAAGTTAGTTATGAACGTACACTACTTTATGTGCTTGAACTGGTTGGGTTATTGAAAATTTGAAATGGGTTGATTATTGAAATGGTTGTTCTGTGCATAAAGTTGATTCATTACCCTATCGTTATTCAGGCTTGAAATATGAGCATTGAAGCAATGAGTACTGGAGGTCAAAACAAAATATATGCACTCTGCAAAATTGATTACTTTTATGTTAAATAATTGCCTTTTAAGATTGATTGTTTTTAGCATATATATGTTGCATAGCTTTAGATTAGTAGCTAAACAGTATTAATTAGACTTTTAGGAAAACAAAAGACAAATTTAGTGCAGGGATGGCAAAAGGTTTCTTTTTTCTTTTATTGTTAATTTATGATGGAGCTGAGAACAAATGGTTTCTGATAGTAATTATATACTTCATATAAGTCATAATTGTTTTCATGTGGTCAGGCCTTGTTGAATAATGCAACAGATGCCATGAACGAGTCTCTTGCTCATGAGATCTTAACCTTTGTAAGTGCTTTTTGAATTTGATGGATGATACCAGCTAATAACTTCAGTTTCACATTCTGACTACTATTTCTGTCTCCTCAGTTAACGGAACTTCAGGATAGAATAATGGATTTTGAGGAATTATTCTGTGCAGCCGCCGTAAGTGTCTATCAACCCATGTATCGCTTATTAAGGATAAATGATTGCCTCACCTTATCAAATGAAATAGAATTTTGTTACCCTTTTGTTAATGATATTGCTGAATTTGTCTGTCATTTCTTGCCTTTTGTATTCTCATTTTTTTTTTACTCCATCTTCAATCTTTATTGTGTTTTGTTCCTTGACTTGACGCAAGTATAATAGGCAAATCTGAGAGTCCGAGACCTAGTGCCTAGTGTAACATGATCTTCAGCCTTAGCTTGACGTACTTAAGTATAATAAATTAAAGTCCTTTAAATTTGTGTTTATATATATGATGTTTCAGGAGCTTGGACTGGGGCCCAACTTATATACCGGTTCATGCAGTCCTTCATGACTGGATTCGGCATACTGATGGGAAGCTTTTGTGCTGAATGAGAAACCTGTGATTGGCTGGACAGCAGAGTTGAGTGTGTGAGTGGAGAATTATTAGTGATACTCTCAAGAGTCTCAACTCTACTTGATGCCTTTCTTCTAATTGATTTATATATCTTGGTTGCAGAATGCTCATAAGGAGTCAAAAGCAGTACCAAAGCCTGTTGCTGTGAAAGGTAAATTATAGTTTTCTATGTTTGTATATGCAGGTTCTTATCCTTTTCTAGTCTGTTAAACACTCAAGTCCTAGTGATCAGTCTTTTTATGTTTCAATTAAGGAAGGAAACTAATTAGTTTCTACCCGAAACCCAATTTTGTGACTTGAAATTAGTTTTCTGGTTAGATACTCTGTCCTGTAATTCTTTTTCAGTTCTTGTATTCTCCTTCACTAGAGTTCAGAATCAACCCTTCTCTGAAATGAGTATCTTTGTTTATCATAATTATATTCCAATAAATGCAGAGATTTTATGGTAATATAAGTTGAAATTTGATAATCTTAACCACTACAGGGAGGGGAAACTCCTTTCTTTGAGCAGTACATTAAGGCTTTGATGGTGTATTCTAGGAACAAGTACATGATCATGCCTTTTTAATCTGCTTCCTGAAACTTTTGTACACACAATTAGAAACTATTTTTCTTAATTAAGGCATTAGTGGTATGAAGTGTGAAGTAACTCTATAATCTATACGATTTTGTGTCACATGAGATGGTTTTGTAACTATCAGTTTTTTCAGAGTGGAACAGTTCATGACAGATTTCAGCCTCGTACTGGAGAGTTGATTCCTTATTTGTGGGTTGTCTAGCATTCGTAGTTTGCATATTCATGTTGAATCGTAGATTATTCCTCATTCAATTCATCAAGTTATCCATTGTCTTAATGCTTGATTCAAGTTTGCACTTGCTTGTTACTCCGTATTGGCTAAATTAAAGTGGCTTATATGTACCAAGGCTGGCTTAAGCTTATTAATTTAATGCATTATCTTATCAACTTTAAAGTAATGTGTGTGTGTTTTTTTTTTAGTATTATAATGTACATTTTAATTTTGCAGGAACATTTGTTGAAAATATTGGGCCAAGGATGAACTTGAGTACTCCTTTTAGTTTAATTTGTTTAGATTTTCTTAAGTAAATATTTATTTTAATTGTTTTTATGTAAAGTTGTACTCATATTTGTTTATATTTTTGTTTTTTCATTTTTTTCTTTAAATTTATGTAATTTTTTGTTTTCAAATTTGTAAGTTTAGAAACTTGCTAAAAGAAGATGTAATACATGCAATTTAATTTTGAGCATTTATAAAATACTTTTTGTATATCACTTGTTCCTTCTATCATTAGAATGATAATGTAATAGATGAAATTAATTTATATCTATATTTAATATAATACTTATTGTCAAACAAGCGTTACAATTGATGATATCAAACAATATGATTTGGATTGCTACCACAAGTGTTACAATAGGTTTGAGAAGTGTGTTTCATTTCTATTGTAACGGGATTAGTAGCTATAGTAACATTTAATTTTGGTCGTAGAACGGTGTTACAATAGACCCTAAAGCCGTCACTGAAGTTCCTCTATCGTTACAATAGACCTAATGTTACGACGGCGAATGTAAAAGCATAATGGCGTTACAGTAGAGCTACTGTAACATATTTTGGCTATTTTGTAACCAATTTTAATGTTACAATAGGCCTCAAATTGTAGTAGTGCGTGTATCCCCACAGACGGTGCCAAATGTTTAGGGGTTTTTTGGAATCCCTCGGGTTACAGGTCTAGAATATGTCCAGACGGGCACAGACACCTGCATAACAACGAATATACTGGTATTGGAATATTCACCTCTGACGGTCAAGTTAGTAACCGAAAAACGAAGGGTTTTAGAGAGAGAAAGTAGTGAGAAGTTAGAGCAATTTAATATGCCTTGAATGATACGATATGTCTCAATCCACCCAATTGGGGTATTTATAGGGGTGAGAAAGTGTGCCCTCTAGGGTTTGATGACCTAGAATGGTGGGCGTTGATCGGCGCAATCAGGTATGGACACATGTCCAAAGAGAGCGCCGTTTTGGGCGCTTTTCTCGGGAATTGAGCCTCCTGATGTATGGAGGCCTTCTCTCTTATTAAGGTCTTCTGGTGCTTCCATGTGTCATCTTCCCATTGGGACACGTGTCGCCCTTTTACTGGGCCAAGTGTCGCTATGGGATTGGACAAAGTGAAGAGGTGTTTTTACCCTAAACACTAAGAATGATTTGATTTTTTTTTTTAATATATTTCAGACAACAGATTTAATTAATAGTAAGGAATAGAAAACATCTTTATGTAATATTAGATTAAATTGACATCAAGCATCGAGAATATTTTCTATTAAATTATAATAACATATTAAGTATGTATAAAAAAATTCCCACACAATTTTTTGACACATGAATCATTAAAGATTTATTAAACTTTGACTTTTTTTTTTCTTACCCATTCATATTATTTTTAGATCAAAACTACACATACAAAAAAAATTAGAGATATTCATAAATAGAGTATCTATACTTCTATACTATATACTAAAATAATCACCAGAAGTATCCAAAAAATACATGTGTCGCGTCCACAATAAAAAATTTCCCGCCAAAAGCTTTTTTTTACTTAAAAAAAAAAGATAATATATCTTTTTAAAAAAAAATTACAACCTAAACAACCCAAAAAATAGAACAATAACAACAACTTTAAATAATATTTTTTTTTCTTTTCTTTATAAATAACTAAGAAAAGTCATATAATTGATAAAAAAAACATTAAAAATAACGAACAACGTAGAATCATAGTAAATTAGTGATTTTTTATCCTTCAAATTTCTAAATCAATTAAATTGAAATTTATTGTTGCAAATACAAATTCACCAAACTAAAAAAGTTTTAATTATATGTTAAGATTAGAAAATCTTATATTCCCTTGAATCTTCATTCGTGAATCTATAAAATGAAATGTTCATTCCCTACTATAAAAAGGATTCTAACTCAATTTTAAATTTATAATTTGTCAGCAAAGTACAAAAGTAGAGATACTCTATATTACTGTGTCTCATCTATAATAATATAAAGTTTTATAAATTTCCAGTGAATATTTGGTTGCTCGGGCAAAGAACTAGTATATACTAAAGTAATCCTCATAATTATCCCCTAAGTACACGTGTCATCACCTCATAAAATATTTTCCCGCCAAAAAATTTTGTTACTTTTTTTTTAATTTTTATTAAAAGAAGTTTGTTACCATATCTCAGGGCGAAGTTTTGGCCTAATATTCAGGGAATGATGCGCAACAATAATAATTTAAATAAAATTTAAAAAAATATAGTGGTAAAAAATAAGAATGTTACCTAATATTATAAAATACTACTTAGGATATTATCAAAAAGTATTATTATTTTTTATTTATCAACAAAAATAACATGAATAGTAAGTAATTTTTTTTTATTAAGAACAAGAGTATGCTTTAATACTAAAATATTATTACTCCTTCCATCTCACTTTAATTTTGTACTATAAAATTAGACATTGAGATTAAACTTATGGTATATCACAATGTTTATTGCACCTTTTTTTTAACAATGTTTTCTTACTTATAATGATTTCGTTTTGTATAGTTTCTAATAAACGAATAATGAAATACTAGTGTAAAACCGTGCATAGCACGGGTTTTGAACTAGTTTAATAATAAGATAATATTAAAACATACACAAAAAATGACACATGTCATTTCATACGCAAAATTTTTGAGCCAAACCTTTTTCAAATAAATAAAATATAATCATCTTTACATTTTAATTTTTATTTTCATTCTCAATTCTTTTTATTTACCACTCATCAATGAAAAAAATCTTTACTTGATTTTCTTATAAAATGCCATTTTAATAAAAAAAAATTATTATCTGACGTATTAATAAGCACAAAAAATATTTTTGTTACCATTTACATCTATTTGACATATTAAATTATACTAATAATATTTTTTTTAATTTAGATAATTTATTAATAATATATATTAATTTTTTTCTTTAATAATATCATAAAATCAATTCATTAGTAAATTTTTTTCTTTAATAAATATCATAAAATCAATTCATTAAACATGATACGTACTAGCATTGTAAAAAAAAAATTAAATGAACTGTTTTTTCTTCTTTTCAAATTGACTTATTAAGTGTAAAAATATATTTACATGTTTTTTTTAATACTTTAATCTATATTTTATAATACTACAATTATACAGATACAAAAAATAACATAGGTTAATTTCTATTTAAAAACATGCAGCCAAAGCCCTTTTGAAAGGAAAAAAAAATAATCATTATAATCATCTTTACTCCAGATTATTTATTTTATTCTATGTCATTTTTATTAACCACTTATCAATGAAAAATAAGACGTATAAATTTTATTATCTAACATATTTACATATAAAAATATCTTGGGAAATTCTCAACGGCGACCCCCAACTTCTGCTACGACCAACGGTAACCCCTTTTTTTTGGATTATACAAAATGACACTACTTATCTTTTTTCCCCTAATGATGACATTAATGATGGTGTTTTAACATAAACATCATAAATAAAGTTAACCATGGTTAACTTTTCCCCCCCCAAAAGTCTGACAACGGTTATAAAAACCCTTTCTCCCTTAATTCCCCAACTTCCTCCATTGTTGTCTTCTTCGTCATCCAATTTTACGCAGCCACCATGGGAAGAGCTCGAGCAATCAAGCTTCGTTACTGCAACTGTTCATTTAATACACGCTCCAATCCAGACAAGCCCTACTACAAATGCAGTAGCTGTCACTTTTTTGCATGGGTTCCTGAAGAAAATATTGTGAGGGTTGTTTATGAGGTCAATGATGAAGGTTATTTCGATGGCTTTGGCAAGAAGATGATGAAGATCGCAATTGGGATGTTTTTAATTTGGTTTTTTTTGTACTTTAATTAAGTGAATGAATTTGTAAACCCTAGATTGATAATTTGGGGGAAATTAATTGAAATTAGGGTTTCATGTAAGGGCAATTGGGATGTTTGTACTTAGTCCTTAACAATCTAGGTAGTTGAATGATGTACTGATCATCCTAATTAAATAAAGATCAGAACTTTGTTCAAATTCAATTTCTTTTGTTTTGTTGCTCTGTTATTCAATTGTATCAATGAACTATAATAATTCATGGTTGGACACAATATAAACATAAAGGAACAATACTTGGAGATTAAAACTTAAGCAATTGTTCACATGCCAAACTGATAATTCCCAAAAAATCAGTTTCCAGTGTTATTTCCATAAGATGCCCTGTTCTCCCCAAAATACCCAAAATAAACTGATTCAAATACCCAAAAAATCAGTTTCCAGTGCTATTTACTTATGCTATTTACAACCAACACCATTCATCTACTGAGGTTGGGTTGAGAACCAATTCCAATAAGCTTCCTCATTTTTGGAGCAGGCTGTGAATAAGACATGGGTCCTTTGCCTTTAGCCTTTGCAGAAGCTGAAGCAACCGTGCCTTTATCCTTTGCAGCAGCAGAAGCGACATCAACTTGCTTCCCTTTACCCTTTGTATAGGCAGAAACAACAACAACTTGCTTCCCTTTACCCTTTGTAGAGGCAGAAGCAGCAGCAGCTTGTTTTGTAGTGGGGCCTCCTTTACATGTTGCTGAGTTGTGCCCATAGCATTGACAGTTGCTGAACTTAATGGTTTTGTTTCTCTTACCCTTCCTTTCTTCATCTTCATCCCTTCTTCTCTCTCTACAAGGCCTGCCAACTCCTCTTTTCATGGCTGGAGGTTCAATTTTAGGCATGTCAAAGTCTGGCCATTGATCACTGTCAGGGATGGAGTTGATTACACCAGCATATGCAGCTTTGTACCTTCTCACAGAGTACCATTCATGTACAAACTGTTTTGGATCAAGCCTTGCATGCAAGATGGCTCTCATGCCATGCCTGCAAGGAATTCCAGAAATCTGCCATACCCCACATAGGCACCTTTTTTCAGCAAAACTGACAGGGAGCACTGATTTTCCATCAGTGACCTCATACCCATCAGCACTAGGGTATGCCTTGCAACACCTGGACTCTTGAGTTATCACTTTAAGTCTGGCCTTGATTCTTGGACATATATCATCATCTATCCAGTCTGCAGAAGCTTGCTTCCTAGTGCACATCCTAACCATTGTTGTTCTCCTAATTCCTAACATTAATCACCACAAATGTTAATGATACATTCACCAATATAGACACATTACATGTACATAACAAAGAATATGTTACCTTCTAACAAAGTCAGAACAGGT